GGCAACATATAGATTAACAGGAATGTGTTGAGTTTAAGTGTAAGAGCTAGTCAGTAGTACGCCTGAGCTAATGACCAAACAGTTTTAATTAATATAAGCCTCTGTATGTTTACTTGGGCCTGAGCGGCTGTGGACTGGGCGGGACATGGGAAAACTTAGCTACAATCAATTGCAGACTCTTAATGATTTCAAAAATTATTGGATGATATTAACTGGTTGCAGCCTACAATTGGATTGTCTACCTCAGAATTGAGTAATTTGTTTCAAATTTTGCAAGGTGAGTCTGATTTAAACAGTCTAAGCAAGTTAACAACTGAAGCTGAAAGGGAATTAACCCAGGTATAACAAAATTACAAAATGCCTGTGTGGACAGATTAGACCTCACAAAGAAGTATATTTTACTAATTTGACCTTCATATCATTCCCTCACTGTACTTGTGAGGGGGTGGCAAAACAGCTTGACCACACAACTGCCATGACAGGCTTGGAGGCCCAGGCACAGCTTCTGGCAGGCAACACCTGGACCCAGGAAAAGCCATAAGTGGATCCCACCCAGTAGGGCCTGCATCTAAAAGGAAATACCTGATATTCCAAACATTTCCTATACCCCCAGACAAATGTCAGCCAATCAGGGTCCTGAACCCTGGAAAGCCCCTCACCCCAACCTCTGTTATGATAAAATACCGCACCCTGCCTGGGCTCTTGGCTCTCTGTTCTCACCTCTGTGTCAGACAAAGAATCCAAGTTCTGAGTTTGAAAATAAAGGCCCTTTGCTTTTACATACAGGATTCAGTCTTTGTGGTGGTCTTTTGTGGGTACTTACAATATGGGCATAACAGACTCATTATGCAGAGAGAGGATTATATCTTGGAATGGATTTTCTTAGCTTGCAGAGTGAAAAATAAAAAACCTGTATAGAAAAAGTTTCTGAACTAATCATAAAGGGAAGATTAAGATTTCATCAAGAGTCAGGTATGGATCCAGCTGAGATTGTGGTATCCTATACCAATACTGAAATTAGACAATTGTGGGAGAATAATGATGGTTGGTAAAGAGCTTATAGTAATTTCTTAGGAGAAATTAACAAATATCCAAAAAGTAAGCAAATTCAGTTTAAAAAAAAAAAAAAAAAACCCCAAAAAAAAACAACAACAACAACAAAAAAAAAACGCACAAAAACCCAAAACCTGAATGGATTCTTCCCTGCATAATACAAGAGCACCTATGTCTGGGGCTCTTACATTAAGAAAACATTCTATTACTTCACAACAGGCTAAGGAAATCATAAAAAAAACCAAACTGTCCTGCTTGTTCTTTTTATAATCAAGTTCCTTTACCTGCAGTAACTAATCCTAAAGGCACACAAAGGAATGAAATTTAGCAAATGGATGTATTTCATTTAGTAGATTTTGGAAAATTAAAATATGTTCATCATACGATTGACACTTATTCTGGGTTCCAATGGGCATCTGCCTTAAGTTCTGAAAAGGCAGATTCTATAATTATGTATTTATTAAAAACAATGGCTGTAATGGGCATATCAGCACAACTTAAGACTGATAATGCCCCAGCTTATGCTTCCAGTAAAATGAAACAATTTTTTGCACATTACAAGATAAAACATGTTACAGGATACCATACAAACCTATAAGACAAGCAATTTTTGAAATATCTAATCACATTCTAAAAGAGATGCTTGCTAAACAGAAGAGGGATATGAGGACCCCCAGAGATAGACTGCATACTGCCTTACTAATTTTAAATTTTTTAAAATGCTAATGAAACAGGAAAAAATGAGTTATGGAAAGAATTGCTGAATTGAGTCAGCCCATGTATTATAAATGTTTTAACATCAAAATAGCCCAGGGGAAGTGTTAAATTAAGGCCAAGGTTATCCTTATGTTTCCACAGGAGATAATAAATTGTAGATTCGATCGAAATTGATAAAAATCTGCCATGAGCAAGAGATATCTCCAAAATGCTGCAGATTCAGGGATGCCTCTGCCAAAGTCAAGACACAAGAGACCTTTGCAACAAACAACTAATCCTCTCATCTGGGGACAGCTTAAGAGTTTGTGTGACAAATGAGAGATGATACTTCACATGACTCACAAGCCTCTAAATGCTACAAACATTTCTTGCCATGCTTTCCATGGCAATAATGCAGATAAAAGGGATGAATCATAATTATTGGGCCTTTATCCCCAATTCTCCAATTAACTTAGCAGTAAGTTAGGCAGATACAAATATTCATGTAATGGTTAATCTTCTTGGCTACCTGGTCCTGATGACAACTGAGGTCCTGCTCAGCCAATGGAGGAGGGTAAAGTGATTGACAATTACAGTTGGAGTACAAGGAATTCCCATTTGCATGGGAAATGAAATTCAGTGCCTAAATACAACTTATAATATATGGCTATCCGTAGTCAATACTACCCAAGATTATTGTAATAAGCTTTATATGCTTCATGCATCTGGTTTTAAAGGATAGGAGATTAATACTATTAGTTCCATAAAGCTACCTTTCTGAGAGATGAGTGTTATCAACAAGGAATCTGAATAGGTACATTGGCAACAGTGTAAGAGTGAGAAACCTCGAGTGCTAATATCTCCAAAAGAGACATAATTGATTGGAGTCCTTACTGTAGATGAATTTCTATACAGTCTTATTAAATAAGAAACACAAAGCCAAATACAGGGATAATAACCAAAGAGATCAGGGAAATAATAATAGCCACCAGCTAATCTTACTCACCACACCATCATAGCTTCCCCAGAAAGAACCAGCTTCTTCCTGTCTAACCTGCATCTTTATTGCCTTGCTGTTCTGCCTTCTCATTGGCTCTTAGCCCAGCTACTTTACTTCCTTGTCACTGCCTGACTATACAGACCTCCAGGTCTCTATGGTTGGTACTGGGATTAAAGGCATGTGTCACCACTCTTGGTTGTGTCCTTGAACACACACAGACTCTACCTGCCATGTGATCAGATTAAGGGCATGTGCTACCACTGCTTGACTTTTGTTTGTGGATGGCTATCTATGTCCTCTGATCTCCAGGCAATTTTTATTTATTAACATACAAATAAAATATCACCACACCTTATTGCTCCCTCAGGGAAAGTATTGTCACTCAGAATTAAGACTGAAACTGTATAATTTGAATGGAACTGTGGAAATCAGTGCTCTAGTTAATGAACCTATTTGGTGGCATGGAGTTGTAATGGCAAATCCCCGCCTGCAATTTGGCGATTCAACTCAAACTCACTTGTGGAAATTGGCACGTGCCTTCCACCTCTTAAGGCATGGGAAGCAAAATTATACATTAAGGATGATAAGTACACTCTGTCTTTTAGACTAAATAAAAGCCATCCTTTTATGGCATGTGTACCATTACCTTACTCACTACTGAAAGGGCCTATATAGAAAGGGCCTACACCTGAATAAATATAGCATTACTTGTGAATGCTGTGCCCTTCATACCTGTGCTAATTCTAGTATGTTTTTAAATTTGACCTTTGAAAGTTTATATAATCTCAGAGCAAGGCCAGCAATCTGTATACCAGTGAGTTGTCATGGCCATGGCAAGACTCTCCTGTGAGGATCCCTGTACAGAAGCTCACTGAACGAATATTAAAAAGAGCACATCGAATGGGTGAACTAGTGGTCACAGTTATTACAGGGATCATTGCATTGACAGCCACAGGAGCAACTGCTGGAGTGGTGCTTCATAAAGAAATCCAAACCGCTGAATTCATTGGAGATTGGTATAAACATCCAGAAAAACTGTGGACTAAACAGAATAAAATTGATAGTAAGATAGTAAATGAATTAGTTGAGTTAAGGCAAGCTGTTGTATTGTTAGGGGATCAGTTAGAAATTTTGAAGGAGCAGATAAAATTAAAATGTGATTACAATGTTTCTTCTTATTGTATCACACCCTTGAGATTTAATAAAAGCAAGTACGATTGGGGTAAGGTTAAGATGCATTTGTTGGGTCACCCTAATTCTTCTCAAATGGTTTGTAACTTACAGAAAGAAATTAAAGAAACTTTTGCAAAAAAGTTACCTGATACGACAGGAATGGGCATTATGGAAAGTCTTGCAGGTACTATAGCCTCATTCAATCCTACGAATCACTTTAATAGATTTCATATCCTAGCAGGTGTTGCTCTTGTTCTAGTAATAATAACTTTATTTGCTTTAAAATGTGTTTTGGTCTACTTACATAAGATTGTAAGACAGACAGAAAAAAAGACTATATTTACTGTGAGCCTGCATAACCTTCAAGATAATTGATTTTTGTATAAAATGGGGGATCTGAGACTGCACTCCCACTGGGCTACACCTGGTCTGGGCTCCAGAGAGTGGCACGGAGCCCTAATCCATCTTTTGTTTAACTGATACCTTTTGTTTCTTTTGTTGCCCTATGTGAATCTTGTCTCAGAGTCTCCCAAGGATACAAAGGCCTAAGCAAAACTTGGTTGGAGAACCAGAAAACTGTGGTACCTGATGATTTGAGGAATTTGCACTTGCCAGTATATTTTTGGGAGCTTCTTTCAGGTTGTTTTGAACATATGGAAATCAATTGGCTAAACTGTAAATATAGAGAAAAAATGCCCTAGGTGAAGGGAAAATTTCTCAGTTCTTAAAGAGACTGGATCCCCTGCAGCTGTGAAAAGCTCAGCTCATTATTAAGGTGCCTCTGAGTTTTCTTTCTGTGTGAGCCCACACACCCATGTTGTGACACTTAGCAAAATATAAGTGTAATCATACAAGCAAACTTTAGTTTTGTAGATAAATTTTCATGTTTTATATCTCCAAGATATAGTCCAATATCATCTCAATATGTGAGAACTATGAACAAAATTCTGTAACTTTTAACTGTATTTTTGCTTGGCTAATCTGAAATCCGGTGTTATCATTTAAAAATTGAAACAATATAGACATATTACTGTTTTTGCTTTTTATTGCTATATCTTTAAAATGCAGTTAGGTTTATTTAAAAAAATAAAAAGTAAATGGTTATTTTTGTTTCATTTCCTTATTAAGTAATTAAGAGCAGTGGTGTTGACATTTCAGCATGACAGGAACGAACTAAATTTTATACACTATGTCCTTGCAATGCAGTGTATTCCCATTTCAATACATTCATAACATAAATACATTGCTTATTAATTGGTTTGACATGCTTTTTTGTACTGTATCTTGAACAAACATGCTTTTCTATGTATGATAATCACATTTTGGAGTATCAAATATAAAGGAATCCATATACATATTTGCTACACAATATTACAGCAATTGTGTCAACTTTAACAGAAAAGAAACAGCAGAATATTCAAACAGAATCATGTATACCATGAAGGATGCCATGTATCCTAAATGTCTCCTAAGCTAATATGATAGAAGGTGGTCAAGTTGATGGCTCCATGGCAGGTGGGTGAAAATTTTGAATAGGTTAGCTCAAGAACAGTTTCCAGGGCAGGTGGTAGAAACTTTAGAGCAGGCTAGCTCAAGGAGGCATATCAGTGTAGTCCCACTCCTGAAGGCTGTACAGAGACTCAGGCTCCTGCTCTCTCTGCTTCCTGGCCTCATGAATTGGAAGGATCTCCCTCTGCCACAAGCTCTTTACCATGTTCTGCCCTGCTGAAGTTCCAAACCAGTGCAACAAACAATCACGGTGAACCGTCTAAAGCAGAGAAACAAAGTTCTCTTCCTTGTCTATTATGTCAGGCATTGTGCACAATGACAGAAGGCAGACATCAAGCAGATGTTTGAGAAAGTCTCCAAGATGGTAACATTGAATCCATGAATTCTGTTGAGAAGAGTCAACATCATAGAGTTCACTTTGCATTGAACAGACCATGTAACAAGAACAAGGAAGATAAATCGGGGTCCAAGAGTGGAAAACAACTTTCTTCTATGCACTAATGAACGGTGGAGGAATAGATAAACCACAGAAACATTCAGCCTCTGAGTGGCTTGAGACAGGGACCTTGTCTTGTCTGTTCATTCTTGCTGCCTACAATAATATCGCAAGCCGATCCTTGGTAAATGAGTATGAAATAAAGAAAAACTGAGCCACTCAATGGGTAATGGGCACAGATTCTTTATCTCACTGTTAAATCCAGATGGTTTCCCATAAGCAACTGAAAACATCTTAATATAGAAGCTTAATACAACTCAGGGGATAAAAGCATCAGTTTCAATAACTACCTGCCCTCCAAAAACATATCTAGGAAAGGCTAGAGTGTCATGTCTGCAGTCAAGTGCCCAGAAGTAAATCTCAGTGAGGACAAGGCTGTGGTAATTCATGATATAGTCTTTCCAACTCTTCTACCTAAAACTTTAGTAGGAAGGATGAAGTACTATCAAGAACAATAGTCAAGAGACACACAGACACTCTGAGTCCTCCATCTTCTAAGTTATTCTCTATAGAAATCAGTTACATACCTATATTTTTAACTGTATTTTGCTAAAACATAATAACCTTATATATTCAGTCTATGGGATCAAGAGAAAAACATTTAATACTTAAAGGGAACATATCAATGTGAAACTGTGTTGGACTGTAAATTTAATCAGAGAAAGTCATCCAATGCATGTCGTTCCTTTTTGCCTCTTGTAGCATTCTTTTCAATCGTGCCTGCACATCAGCAAGCTTCTGTCGATCTAAACTGTCCTGAAAGTGCCATCTCCCATAGCAATGCACAGGGATAGGATAAAACACATATTTAAGCTTCACCAAGGATGTTAAGTGCTCAAGAATTCTCATTAGCATAGTCATGGTAACTGGATTAGAGGAAAAGTTGAGGATTCGGAGTTGAGAACAGCGACTTAGTGCAGAGATGAGAACAGAGATTGTAGAGTCTGTTAAAAGGCAATGATTGATTGCCAGATGTTGCAAGGTGCTAGAGTTATTCTGCAAAAGGTTATAAAGGGGTTCATCATCTTCCCAGTTCATTGGGTTGTTGCTGATATTCAGTAGCTTTAAGTGGTTGGCTTGAGGGCACTCAGACAGAAACTTGAAGTCGTTGTAAGAAAGTTCACAGAATGGTAGATGTAAGAATTCCAAACTAGCTGGTAGGACTCTGCAGGGTAGAAACATAAAAGTATTTCTGAAAAATGAGGACTAGAAGAGGGAAACTATATCTATGAATTTAAAACCAACTATTTTGTACATGGATTGCATCAGCAACAAATGATATAAGCTTTCATGTACTTAATAGACTTGTGGGTCTATGAAAGATACTTTACCACCCTGACAAATACTATTTTAACCTTGACACTGTGTACAATATTATAGAGTTGTGTGAAAAACTTAGTGGAAAATATTATCTGCTTAGTAATTACAATATAATCAAGGTAGAGGAGCAACCAACTGGAAGCTCCCTTTGGCCAGTCCCCAAGTGACAGCCTCTACAGTCACAGCCTGAACCTTGGAGATTTTCCTAATGCTCTGACATTACTGTCTATGGGTAGATGGCTAAGTGCACCTGTGCCCAACCTGAAGTCTTTCTCTCAATTCCTCCTCTTCATCTCTCGATGGCCAGAGGAGGACTGCATTGTTCTCTTCACCTTTATACTTCTGGAATGAGCACACTGCCCGCACACGGTCAGCTGACAAAGGTTTTTGTAACCCCATTTTCTCTTCAATTACAGAAAGATACCCTTCCCTATCTGTTTTTAAACTCCCAGCATAGCCCATGCTGAGGTGGAAAGAAAAAGGGCTATGGGAAACTTAAGAATATCTAAGGATTACTTCTCTCATCTTAAAAACAGGCTATTATTGGAAACTCGGTATCCATCCCATACCCTTACCTCAGGACATGTTCAAGATGATCTGTGAGGCAGAAAGAGGACAAGTTGAGCTCATTGAGATGGTCCATACGCCCAAGCTCAGAGATAAAATTTCGAAAGGTTTCCCCATTCAAAGATCTACAAGTGATTTTACACAGACAAAGTCTTTCCAGGTGCACCACCTGAGCCAGAAGGGTGGTGACCTCACTCAGAGAAGCCTGATCAACTGCCAGGTGATCAATACATTTCATATCCAGATGACATAGGGTGTTTCTACAGTCACACACTTTGTCTATTTGCAAATCTCGGCAGCACAGGTGCAAAGAGCCTGAGCTCTGCTCTACTTTATTCAGAAGCAGAACCAAAAATTCAGTTTCCCTTAAGGTTCTATCAAGGGAAAGGTTCACTAATAATTCCATAGCCTGCCTGGAGGACTGAGCCTCAGGTTCTGAACTTGCCATACTACACTGGCCTTCGATTTTCAAGATAGAGTGCTCAGAGTAAGCACAGGAGTGAAAACAGGCAGGTGACTTAGTACTGCTCTCCGGACAGATGATCTTGCAGCCAACATCCTGCCTTAAATCTAGGATCCTCAGTTTAGGGCTCCTGCAGGGAAAAGAGAACATAGAACACTAAGAGGTAGCAAACATTAATATAACCGAACAGGATCACTGATAACACGTAGTGATAAAATCATCTATTTTTTCTTTTGTTATTCCATATACCAGATACCAGCAAGACTTTCTTATTCAAATACTGTATCCTTTACTATTTTCTATGATCAACTAATGCTCACAAGTCTTGCTATTCCTGTCTTCTATGAAACATCTCCATTACGTATCTCTATCAACAGTAGCCTCACTCACATCTATTACAAAATTAAAACCCTCTGTAAGACATCAGAGTTTTTAAGATAACCTCAACTGACGTACCAACAACCTCACATTGATTTTCAGCATTCACCATTAACTAACTGTGAAAGATTATCTAGTCCGCTCTTGCAACAGGCTACAGGATAATGTGTTGCTATCTTGCCATACACCCATTATACACATTCTTACTGAAAAGCTGAGTTCTTGGCAGTAACACCTGAAGACCATCAGGCATGTCTTTCAGTTCACCATGTTTCTTGTATGCTTAATTTTCTAGCGTGGAGA